AGGTGAGTGAGGTCTGGTGTGTTACAGGGTAATACTAGAGAGTGTGTTATAAAGGAGAGTGATACTGGTGTGGGTGATGTCAGTATTAATGCTATAGATCAAGGTGAGTGAGGGCTTGAGTGAGTGCTACCTTACTGTTTGACACGGGGGACTTTCTGGAGACAAGGTAGACAGAAATATACTCAGACTGAAAGTATTGAAAACCAACACCTACACATGCAGAGGTCTTTAGACAAAATGGGTACAGGGAATTAAATAGGGAGAGTAGTTAGATCCCCACCAACCTGCTAGCCCTTCAAGCTTCAAAGATGGTCATAAACTAGTAAGAACTTGTAACACTAACAGGATTGCTGTGTTATTTTAGGTGCGAGTAATAATCATGTGGGCAAAGAAATGGTCAATGCTTCTTGGTGTGGTGTTTTAGCATCTCTGTCACTTCTTCTTGAATCAAGGTAAACTGCCTTAACTCATTGTCTGTTCGTATTATTTCAGGCCATGTGTCATTCTCTTGAGCATTATTTCATTGATCGCAGTACTGTCTGTTAAAATACATCAGTATGAGAGAGACAAAAAAGCATAGGACATATGTTCTGAAATAGAAGAAATAACACTGTGGCCTGTCGAAGAATTGCTGTGTGGAATGCAGCATTATTATTATCATTCCATATTTTGATATTTATTCAATATCTAGTATCTACCCTTACTATGCTTCCTTCTCACAATACCTACATTTTTAAAATTTTTTTTCAGTAATGATGAGACAGGAACAGAAGCCATTCTTAAATCCTTTCAGATGTTTTCTAACGTGTGTGGTGTATTAAGCCTGACTACCCCACGTGATGCATTCATAACATCATTATGTAAAGCTGCGCTTCCACCGCACTACACACTAACTATAGTTAACCCACACTCTGGTAAGGCTCAGGTATCATACATCAAGAACCCCTCGTCTAGTCATGGAATGGGGTCTGATGCACAAGGTGGTGGAGGTAGTGATCAACCTGTTCTGTCAAGAACTATGTCGTTCCCTGGAGGGGGAGGGTCAGGAGCTGTTGTTACCGGTACCTCTGTTGGTGGATCTCATGGTCCTGTATCGGTAAGTACATCGAGGATTAACTTCAAAAGTTGCATTTTTGGAAATAGTAGACACCAAATTATTTATCTTTTTTTATCTTTTTTGTTGTTGTTTCAGTTAACAGCTAAGAATGTGCAGTGTATGCGTGCCTTACTTAGCCTTGCACACTGTCATGGTACTATATTGGGTACTGCCTGGCACATGGTCCTTATAACATTACAGGT